CTAAGCTTTAACCAAAAGGGTGGGAGGGCATGGATAACACAGATTTCTACATGAGCGCACTCTGAACACACACATGGGATGATGTCAGCTGAATTGAGAAGCACTTACAACAAAATACCCCTGTGGGGATAAACACTTTTGATTTGTGACCCTATAAAGATGCCAGCATGGCAGGAGGTGTGATGCCCCGTGCACGTGTGAATGCACCAGATAAATACTCTAACTAAGAAACATATTCAAAATTAGTATGTGTTTGATAGTTGCTTATTTTTTAGAAAGAAGAGTGACACCACAAACTAATATGAAGCTAGGGTTAGTGTGGCTTAGTACACAAACTGGTAATAACCAAATACTACTGTTTTGTAGGTTTTTATTCATTTTGAATATGTTTTTTGTTAATGCACCATGGCACAAAAGCAAATCCATGTCACTGTCTAACCTGACATTGATTATCAGCTAATCTTCTAGCTAAATGTAATTGTGTATGTATATTTTATATTCTATCCAACTCTTCAAAGCTAAATGTATTGTTTCAGTTAACTGCTTGAAGAATGACTGTGATACTTTCTCTATACTACACTATGCATTGTTGTTTGGGGAAATAGCCATTGAGTGCTTTGAGTCCTAATGGATCTGCCTTGATGACCCTTTGTTAGAGGGCTGGGCCAAGTATTGATCAGACACGTAGGTTCACTGAAAGCACTCAGAGTAGTTTACATTAAAAGGTCAGGGGGAAAAAACTACTTCTGATCAAGAGAAGATGATGAGGTTTGTTCTTGATTTGATTTGTCTTAAAGACCAATATGTCAAACTGCTGAAAAGGATGTTTTCATGAGCAACCTAACTGTGATTTCCCCATGTTATAAAAGAATAAAAACACAAGCAAAAACATTTAAAATATCTTTAATCATTGGATAAGCTTGTGTAATTGACATACTGCATAATATAATTCTCCACATTTATGAACATTGTCAGTTATTTGTTAAACATTTCCACTTCACAAAGAAAAAAATAACCTTTTTCTCTGACAGATTGCATAACAAAATAATAAAAATGCATCCTGCCATGGATAAAAACCACATTCCACTCACTCAAGCAAGGTATTGATCGGGCTGATCCAGTGGACTGCAGTCAGTCTCTCTGGCTTTTATCATTCAATCGTCTAAGCTTTGCCTTAGTAAAGTTGTTCACCCGGCTCAGAGCCCGGTGTGCACTCAGTGGGGTTTATTCCAATTTACTTCCATTTCTTTGAGCAGTTTGGGATGTGAACAAAACCCTCACAGGGAAAGTATACGATTCAAGGAAAGGAAAGGCCTAATGGCTCTCTTTGAGGAGTTGTCAGGTACCAAGAGACCCACGTCAGTCCTGGGATACATTGTGCATGTGTGTTTGTGTATGTACCAGAGGAAGGAAGAAAACAGCAGGACACTGGGAGTGAAAGCTTCCTTTTAGCTGCATGCTGTGTGCATTGCTGCTTAGCTCACTGTTTATCCCTTTATTCTGCCTCCAGGGAGACACAACAGTCTGTCCTTTCGCTTCTACAACATGGCCAAAGCATGCAGTAAAAGGGCTCTTGACAGTATGTTAGGTGGCTTATAGAAAAGATGGCTGAGCTGCGTGCTAATGCAGAACAGAGCAGTGGTGAGTATGAGAATGAGGGAGCAAAAAAGGCTTAATGGAAAGGGATTTACTTTGCCATGTTGTGCTGCTATCAACATGAAAATGTGTCTTAATTTGGTGAATTCCTGATATCTCGAGGAACATGTTTTTAATCTGAAGCTTTTGACACCATTTGATTTCTGACTCAAGGTCTGTCAATACAGTTAACCACTCCCTTTACAAATTATATTTTATTACAATAGAAAAGGTATTGTTTTTAGCCCCCATTTTTACTTTGCCAGGTGCATAACAATAACAAATGTTTTCTATATTCCTAACTTTGTTGACAGTCATCAAGCTTTATACAAGCTTTTTTATTCAAATACTGAGCTTTCAACTGTGACTTTTCCCAGTTGTTTAATTAGAAAAGTCACAGTATTTAGGGTATCACTGTTATTAAACCATGCTTTAATGGTTAATGTTACAATGAGTCTCATCTTTTTCATCTACCCTGCCATGATTCAGACAGTACTGTTACACAGACACGAGCAGTAAACACTGTTTTATGCCACCACTAGAGGTGATGCCTGCCCACTCTCATTGTCATGGCAACCGTGTGGATAACCACTCGTCTATGTAATGCCGTTTGTCTTGCTGCCCAGAATAGCCGGAGGGTGCCTGGCACCTAGAGCCAAGGCAAACACACCACACACTGGCCATCTGATACATGCTGGACATCATAAAAAGAAGTTGGTAAGATTTCAGAGTAAGCGTGCTATGTTGTGTTTTCCTCCGTAACCTAAGAAATACTGGAAAGCTTTAAATTATATGTATTTGTTGCACATATGCCAGCTAGTAACACTTCCAATTGTATCCATGCACATAGCAGCTTTTATCCCTCTTTCAAAAACAATCATGCCACAAGCGATGTTTCCTGGCACCTATACTGTACGCACTGTCATCTCCGCCAAAGAGCGGTTTAAAACATATTCTTTTTTTCTTCTTTTGTTAAACTGGAGAGACACACTACAGCTTGACGTAATGTGTTTTACAGGTTTGATCCCTGTGCTATAATGTTTTTTCCCTCCATATGGCACATTTGGAAAGAAAACCACAAACTAGCAGAGCAGACAGTCTCTTTGGCATGAGGTGTTGCTTGACAGCCAACACATATGTTAAAAAAGGGAAGAGGTTTCAAATGACTTCATGTCCGAGGCTGGATGATATACCATGGTTGAAAATACTTATCGAGCTATGAGTAGATATACTTCTTTTTGTAGTCCAAGACAAATTTGTTTTAAATTGTTCTAAATCATTTAAGAGTTCAAGGTCCAGTTGGAGCACAGTTTTTCTTTCCTGTCTCCAGCACTTGCCTGCAGTGGCTGTTTCTGTGGTGCTGGCTTTATGGTGCTGTCTCAAAGCCAGAGGGCATTGTGTGAGCATGATGTGTGTTGGCACAGACCGAGCTTTTCCATTGAACCAGTGTGGTGTGGAAAGTGGGAAAAGAAAGGCAATATAAAGAGAGAGGAAACACTTAAATGGCTAAAAAAAATAGAGATACTGAGTTTAACATCTTACTGTAGCTGGCCTTTAAGATGTCTTGACAGTGAGATCTGGCAGAAAGAGGATTGATCAGATGGACTGGCTAGTTACATGTTGTTTTAAGCAAACATGAGGAAAATAGACTAAATCCATCTCCAAACTAGGTATGACAGGCCTGGTTTGTATTCTCCACATGTTGAAATGTAATGTGTTTAATCCATTTTAAGTATTGTCACTCTACCCCTGCAGCATTAACCTGACTAACTGCTGACTGGTAGGAGATGTTGTAATACTGTGATGAATTAACTAAAACCGTTGGAGACTTGTCTATTCTTATCCAAACCTCAGTCACTGAACAGTCACACGCACGCACGCACGCACACACACATACACACACACACACACACACACACACACACATACACACACACACACACACACACACACACACACGCACGCACGCACGCACGCACGCACGCACGCACCCTCTCCCTGCCAGTAGTCTTGGAAACTCCTGAGGAACGGATGATAATATTAGATTTGAGAAGAGGTTGCTTATATAAGCCACTAGAAAGGCTTCAAGAAATATTGCTGTTCTTCTCTGATTGTTTTAGGTCTTCCACACATTTCTCAAGATACAACCAATAAAGCTCTCAGCACAGCATGCAATATCCACCGAGCCAACATAATACATTTACCAGTCAACACTCACATGGCGAGAGCACACAGACTGGTGGTCGAGCCATTTGTACACGCAAGCAAGAGGCAAAAAAGAATAAAAGGAGTACAAAAACTCAGATTATCATAACAGCAGTGCAGTTATCTCAGGAGGGAAAGGTACAGGCATATGCAGTTAAGGTTTACACCAATCAGGCACAACATCAGATTAGAAAAATGTGGTAACCATAAGGATTACAATAAAAACAATTTAAAAAATTCAGCCATATTTAGTTTTTGCCTACAACCAATTACGACTAGTACCTGATGCACAGAGTAGCTGTATTGCGATTTAAGGAACATACAATATTGCAGATGATTGGATAAGCACTAAAGGTATTTAGCTTCACAAAGACACAAATTAGTACATTATTTCTCAATAAGGGAAACCTTCACTAACTGTGATCTATTTGAATATATTCTACTTTTTGACAGGCAGCAACACGTTCGAAGAAACAAGCTTTAATATTCAGGTTTTGTTAACAATTTATTAAGTAATACTGTATATGACCATCAAGTGCTTAGTTATATTGCCTAAGACAAACGATTTGTAGCATTAATTACATTTCTGACTAAAAGAAGAAGGGAAAACTTTGGTCTTCTATTAATTTTCATGCAGTACAATCGTCTTTATCAGTGCCATCGGACTTATAGGCCCATCCCTGGACATATAAAGTGATTAAGGAGATCCCAGAGCAATATTCTTTGAGGGGTATGTGCAAATAAATTGTAGTTTATGGGATTTTTTTGGGGGGATAAAAAGTCTAATTATAATTCAAATCTTTTAATTTACACAGGTTATATGTTTCAGTTCTCCGGCAGGTCATCATACTGTGCTTTAGAAAATAAACCAAATTTTGGGGGGAAAATAAATACCCTGAGGTAATCCTATGACACAGGATTTCAAAATGGTCTTTTCTGAATTTTTCTTAGGCAGCCCTGTTTGGCTATATCATGTTCAAAATCCTGAAATGTGCATCCAGCATAATACTGACCTCAATGTTTCATAGAAAGTTAGTGCAGTCACAGGAGGGCACAACAAACCCAGTGTCTGTCAACAAGGAAAGCCTTGCTGGGTGTGTCATACATCAGCAGTTCACTCTTCTTCTGTTATCCTTCAGGGATCTGGTCTATATATTTTCAGAGGGGTGTTCAATAGTAGCTTTAGTCCCCTCTGTCATTATCCCTCTTACAAAAACGTCACATCTTCTTGCGACTGCACCCATCGCCAGTGCGAGTCATACTCTAGATGCATTTTGCCATTCATTTTGCAAGTATCCAAGTCGATCGTTCCATTTTTGTAAGGTTTGAGTTTGGGGCTCTGGTTGGTTCCCAGTTTCTCGTTGAGGCTTGGGCGCATTGGGCGGGTTGGGCTGCCTGTCTGCACGTTTGGTTGCTCCAAGACAGCATTAGCCTTGATGACTTGAGTCTGGTTATTGGCCTTAGAAACTCGGCTTTCTTTATCGATCTCAGAAGCCTTCGTCCAAACCGGAGCGTCTTGTTTGGGGCCTTCAGGCTTGGCTTGGGAAGAGGTTAATGGAAAAGCTGGTTTCCCATTTCCAACCCCAGTTCCATTTTCATTTACCAAAGTCCGGACTCCCACAGCCCCAGAAGCAGAACCAGGTGCAGTGACCGTGGCCCCGGGGCCTCCCACTGTCCGGCCCGCAGCAGTAGCCTCTGAGACCATTGGGGTGGTGGAGCAGATGACCGACTCCGAGCTGGAGGGGCAATACTCGTCCATGTCATCCGCCAAGGTGTCCAGGTAGCTGCCGATGGAGATGTTATCCAGCTTGTCGTTGGGGTCCTGCAGGCTGCTCCAGGAGCCTCTCCACGAGGTGTCGGGGCCCTCACCCAAGCTGTACTGGCTGCTGGTCAGGCTGCTGCAGCGGCTTGTGAGCGTGCTGCGCTCCTCCATCAGCCATTTCACCGCCTCGATGCCTTCATGGACCGCCAGCAACTGCTGCAAGATCTTCACGTCCACTGAGCGCAAGTGAGCCTGCGGAGTAAAGGAGAAGTGGGTTAATTTACAAAGTTTATGACTATTGTTATGGTGTTATCAAAACATGAAGTTCGTGTTTAGATAGTCTGCAGTTTGCAACAGGGAAAATATTTTCTTTATGGGAGCTAAACAAACCAACCCGGGGAACCACAAGGACTGCAGATATTTATTTTAGGCATTCAGCTTTGGCTCCACAGGCGTTTGCAAACATCATTATAATGCTATTAAACCTTAACAGATTACCATAATAGGAAGGAAGTAAAGTATAACAGAAGCTGGCAGGTCAAGTATACCCAGCGACCAGGAAACAAATAAGGGGTGGTAAAGGGAAGAAGCCAAGAGACAGAATTAGAAGAGAACAGAACTAACTCCTCAGAAAAGCTGTTGAGTGATGGAAGTTACAGTGGAAAGACATTTGAACATAAAAAATCTTTACAAAGATGTCTAAATGCCCTGTAAATGGTGCAGAAATAGTCAAACCTTTATTTAGTCATGATGTCATCTGGTGTTATAAATGAAGTAATGATTAATCAGAATCTAAAATGAAGTGTGTGTGTGTAGGAGGTTGAAAAAGCTAAACGATGAAAAAGAGGGAAAAGACGGCTGCGGTCATGGAAAATTCCTCCCCAGAATACATCAGCAGAGGTCTGCGGTGAGGTGCAGGGCCAGGAGGTGATATATGGCACCGACATTCAGAGCTACCCACCCCTCTCTGCAGATTAGCTGCCTCCTTCAAACCTTAAGCCTTAGTCTTTCAGTATCTCTGTTTCCTCGATGTTGCAATGTTTCTCCTTGTTATTTCGTTGTTTACTGTGACCCAACAGTGTATATATTTTTCAAGGCTACTGTAGCACCATTTTTCTGTAGTCACTCAAATGTTTATAAAAAGCATACACTACCATTTCTTATATTATGTTGTTTTGTTTGTCTCAGATAATTAATCAGACAGGTTTCATACATAATCACACCTACAATATGTACATTGTCAGGATTATTATGTCATGTCACGTGTCTAATGTCTAGGTGTGGGTGTTTTTCTGTTCTCCTTGTCATGTTTTCCTCCCTGTATATTGTCTGGTCTCTTTTCCCTGTGTTTTCATGTATGTCGTTAGTTTCCCTGGTGTGTCTAATTTCCTGATTGTTTTCACCTGTCACTCCTTGTGTGTCTCCTGTGCTCATCAGTGTAAGCCCCGCCCCTGATTGTTCCCACCTGTGTCTAGTTACCCTGTGTTTAAATTCCCCTGTCTCCCAGTGTTCAGTGTCAGTTCGTATTGTCTCTTGCCATGGTCAGGTCTATGCTCTTTTGTGCTCAAGAATAGTTTTGTTCCTCACTACGTGAGCGATTTTCCTTTTGGTCTCATTTTTTGTCATCTCATCCTGAGATTAGTTAGTGACCTTTTTTTGTTCATCGTGTTTTTTTTGGAAAAAATAAAGTATCTTACCAATACTTTACCTCTGTCTCCCTGTCTGCAATTGGGTCCAACATCCTAAGTGCCTGAGATCGTAACAGAACGAACTGACCAGAAATGGACCCAGCAGATGATCCATTTGAGGTGGAGCTACAGCATTTTTCCTTTTGTTTGGCTTGCTGCTGTGATTGGTGGAGTGGAGCGTCCAGTGTTCGGCAGAGGGAGGCCGCTCTGGTAGAGGCGCACCGGTTGGCTATGGAGAAACCAGACTTGGTGAAGTTCTTGCCTGGCTGGATTTTGAACTTCCTCTGGGTGTGTGATTTCCAGCCTGCTGACTACAAACGTCTCGGTGTGGTCCGTCTGGAGTCAGCCAGTGCTTCTGCCCCAGTTCCTGCTCCTGTCCAGGAGTCGTTTTCTGGAACTCGTCTGGCTTTTGGAGGTCCACGGAGCCTTCAGGCGGCTTCTAAGAGAAGGAGGCGCAAAGCCAAGCTAGCAGCCATGCCTCCATGCTCCAGTACCGGCCCACGCAGCTTTGCGTCCATACTGGATTACCTGGCTTACACAGCCAGGGTCCAGGCTTCTGCTCCGGACCCAACAGCCATGGTTCCGGCTCCAGTGCCGGACCCAGCAGCCATGGTTCCGTGCTCCAGTACCATCCCACATAGCCATGGTACCGTGCTCCAGTACCACCCCACACAGCCATGGATCCGTGTTCCGGTTCCTTGCCCAGCAGCCATGGTTCCGGCTCCAGTGCCGGCCCCAGCAGCCATGGTCCCTGCTCCAGAACCGGACCTTACAGCCATGTTTCCGGCTCCAAAACCGGCCCACACAGCCATGATCCAGGCTTCAGCTCCGGACCTTACAGCCATGTTTCCGGCTCCAGAACTGGATCTTATAGCCATGGTTCCGGCCCCAGTTCCAGCCATGATTCCGGCTCAAGTACCGGGCCCAGCAGCCATGGTTCCGGCCCCAGTTCCAGCCATGGTTCCGGCTCAAGTACCGGCTCCAGCAGTCATGGTCCCGACTTCAGCTCCTCGTCACCTGTTGACTCATCGGCCGACGCCAGCTCCCCGAGTCCTGTCGGCATACCGGCCGACTCCAGCACCTCGTCTCCTGCTGGCTCTCCAGCCGACGCCAGCTCCCCGAGTCCTGTCGGCGTACCGGCCGACTCCAGCACCTCGTCTCTTGTTGGCTCTCCAGCCAACGCCATCTCCCCATGTCCTGTCGACGTACCGACCGACACAAGTCCCCTCTCAGGTCCCCTCTCAAGTCTCTTCTCGAGTCCCCTCTCGAGTCTCTTCTCGAGTCCCCTCTCGAGTCTCCTCTCGAGTTCCTTCTCAAGTCTCCTCTCGAGTCCCTTCTCTAGTCACCTCTCAAGTTCCCTCTCGAGATTCCTCTCGAGTCACCTCTCGAGTTCCCTCTCAAGTCTCCTCTCCAGTTCCTTCTCAAGTCTCCTCTCGAGTCACCTCTCAAGTTCCTACCAGAGTCCCCTCTCGAGTCCCCTCTCGAGTTTCCTCTCAAAAAAGCGTAATTATTTAAGTAACTAGTACTTTACTCTAAATGAAATATTTTTACAGTCAGATCAAATATAAAAACATTGCATGTTCAGGCCAAATACATGTAAAGCATTACTGTATCTGATTCTTATAGTGTGTAAGAAGACATCAAATCATTTCACAGTTGTAAATGTGGTAAAATAACACATAAACTGTAAGTGCATGGTCAAAAAACTGCACGTATAGCAGTTTTCAATGTTAGATGCAGGGACCTGAAAGACCTTTGCTCTCTGACCTTTAGGAGTCTCTCTCTTATTTCCTTATGACCATCCAGGTTGTGTCAATAAAACAGTGGGCAGAGACATATTGATTCTTAAAAGCTGCCAGGCTGTTTACCTCTTGGTCGTGCATAATGTCAGCAGCAGTTTTCTTTAATGATAACCAAAACATCAAAAATAAAACCTCTCCCTGTCAGTGTGTTTAAGAGCCTGAGACTCTTCCATGTACAAGAAAAGCTGTGTAAAATAATAAGTTTAGCTTTTTCATTGGAAATATTGGCTTCATTGACCTCGTATTGCCTCTATAAATCCTTTAAATGATGCAATCAGTAAATGTAGTATGTGAAGGTGGGATCGTCTTACATACAGCCCACTACGTTACCCATGCCATATGGCCTACATCATAAACTCAAACACTGTTACTTCATCAGATTGCCTTACACTTTGTAATGGGCTGTTTGTGGGGCTTGTGAGGATATACGGCCCGTCTACACTACAGGCATCGAAAAATGCTTTCAACGCTTCGCCCATTCATTTGAATGGGGTGACGTAGAAGATTTTTAAACTTCGCCGAACTGCATTGTGGGGAGCATGGCATGGCTTTGCAAGCATCACGAGCATCTATCGGCATCAAAAGTTGAACAATGTTCAACTTTTGAGGCTCGATGCTTGGCATCAGCCAATCAAATCCTGCGTATGCAAATCTGACAGTACAAGCGCTAGCCAATCAAACCGTGTGTATGCTGGGAGAGACTACGCAGGTCATTTCCTCATATTCCAAAAAATGGAGGGAAAATTCATTATAGCGGTAGTGAATCACCCGGTGCTGTATGATCAGTTTCTGTTCATCTACCGGGATACAAACCGGAGGAGCGAGGCATGGAGGGAGGTGGCAGAGACAGTGGATGAAACTGGTAGGTTTTCGCCTGTTTGGGGATTTTATATCCAGTTTACTTCGTTTTAACATTGCTATTGCTTTGTATGCCGGGGGCGGGCGGGAGATTCCTGATTGGTTGTTGGTCGCCTCGGGCGCGAGAAATCGCCAAGCCTCAGACACGCCCAGCTTCAAGATTATTTGATGCCTGTAGTGTAGACGGGCCGATAGACTTACCCAAAACCCTAAAGTTTAAACCATAACCACTACAGGCCTAACCTTAGCCCAACCTTAGCCAAACCTAAGCCAAAGCAAGACTTTAATTTGAACCAAAAACAAAGTGTTCATTCAAAATGAAATACATGAAGATAGTGGAAACTAGCTTTCTGTCTTACAATGCAGGAAGAGTCTCAACAAAACCTCTCTTTTCAGACTACAGCTCCCGACCCGTTTGGGGGGAGTTGAACTTTTAACTTTTTGGCTTTTAGATTGGATGCATTTACTTATACCAAAGTGTCTGCCAGAGGATTGTAATCCAACAATGTGATGGTGGGAACATATATTTGTCTCAAAATCAATAAATACAGGAACACACAAAGGTATGCAAACATAATTCTGAATGCATGAATGGATAAGAAGGAGCTATGTGGTCAATGTGGTGCAGATCTGCTGATGCCAAACTCACACTGTAGGCCAAATACAACTGGCAGAGACAGCTTTGACAACAGGAAATTAAGGAATAGTCAGATAAATTAAAGGCAAAACCTCAAGATACAGATAAAGATATCTTCATCTGCTTATTCATAGCGTCAGTCCACCTGTACTGTACAAGAAAAACATAAAAGCACACATTGCAGTGAGGGGTGCCAGATCTGTCTTTTTGTGTGGCTGTTAACCAGTTGGCGTCCCGGGAACAGTCAGACATTTGGGGTGGGGTTCA